TGAAGTTTCATCTAATAATATTGCAACAAAATTAGTATTTTTTATTTCTGATTCAATGGACGTTGATATGATGTTGCTAACTGAGCAAATAAGATCATTTTGAATTCTATTGGATGTACCACGGAATATTTTTGATGTTTCTAAATGCACGTTTAAAATAGAATCATAAGATGATAATAAATTTAAACAACCGAGGAAATTTCCCTGATTGAAAGAATTAACTCTTTCATTGTGACCACGAAATGGTAATTCGTGAATCGCCAAAAAACAAACACAATCAATAAAACGTTTTAAAACGTCTCTATTTTTTTTTACCAATTCATTATGGCGTATTACATCTGAACGTCTTTGTTCATCAAGCTGCAAATCAATTCTAGATTTTCCAAACATTTTTAATTTTAAAACAGAAGAAATATGTGTTTGAGATCGTTCATGTTTTTGAATACCATTTGTTAAATTATTTAAATTAACAAAACCACTATGAGACCAAACATTTTTTTCCCTGGTAAATAAAACACAAGGCCAACAGAAAAGTTTATTTAATTTTGCACTACCAGTCAACCATGGAGTATTTAAATAATTAGAAATATTAAAATGACGAATGTAAACTTTGTTTTTTTCTTTGTGATTAGATGTCAATTTTGGAATTTCTGGACATGGTCGACCATTTTTTACAATTGTTAATTTTTCATCAACATTTTTTAAATGAAATTCATTTTCCAAAAGATGCTCGATTAAGCAATTGTTTGAATCAGTATTCATTGTCTATAAAAACAAATATAAACAAGGCGAATATAATTTGATTCCTCTTAATTATAATAATTTTATTTATTTAAATAATAATTATCTATACCAATTCTATAAAATTATGCAATAGGAATTTAATATACTTACATTAAAAATGTTTGTTCAACACCAAATTAACTATGAAGACTTGTAGACACGTTGACGGTTGACGACAAAATAATATATTTATTATTAGTATAGTATAGACAGTATAGTTAAAACTTATAATAAGTATATTGATAACAAAAATAATCCGATATGCATCGTAAGAATATTGGAATTCCGACAATTCCGTTTTTAAAAATATCGATAAGCGCTCGGCATAGCGCTTTCAACCATTACGTAAAAACGCGTATATCCCCTTCTACCACAACTGGTCATTCCTATAAATAACGATATGGGAAAGGCAATCTAAAATACTAGCGCTTCTGTAGAGAAATTGCCTATACGAAAAAAAAAAATTTAATTTCTTTCAAAATCTGATAATTTTTTTTTAAATTGAATACAAAAATAAGAATTATTAAATATTTGTAATTTTAATGTAAACAAATTGTTATTTAACATCAGAAATATTAATCTTTTAATTTTTTCCTTTTTGGCTGGGCATGCGCCGCTTACCTAGCTTGTCCTGACCGCACGCCACTGGTAGATACTATCGTTTAATTTTGCCTTGTATCATCGCAATCAACTATACCAAATGCATAAATACAGATTGCATTATTTTTATATGCAATTTTTAAATTTATTTACTCAGACAACATATTTTTCAGTTTAAATATTTATTTTAAAAAAACTCACTACCAACTGTATCATATTGTATTAACTTTATTACGTCGTTTTTATACTGGTCAGCCACCCGTCTAAGTAAATACGTTAAATTATATATATCGATCATAATATGCGCTGTATAACAGTGAGTTCTTAACATATTATATAGGTACCTATCATATATTGTAATGCGCATTCCGTACATATTTTTAAACGAAGTGCAGACGCGTATTACAAGTACGAACATTTGTATAAAATAAATAATATTGCAAACACTATATAGGTACCTGCATAGCTTATTATAGGTATCATACATTTGTACACGGTAACCGTCGATAGCTCACAGGCTGGTTAGACTGGCGAGGTGGAGGGCACAACCGCGCACAGCGTACTTTCATTGGTATAAATTCCGTGGTATTATGTATACCTTAATACCTATAATAAATACCATCCAGCTATTATGCTAGGGGAGCGATTATAATAATATATGAATATGCTTTTTTTTTTTTTCGAGATTACGATTTCTCCGATAGATATTAAACCTTCTCCTCGATTTCAACTCCCCGTTCTCCTCCTGCGCACAATCTCCTTATTATCATCCAGACTCTTTTCTCGTTTGAAAATATTTAACTATTGAGGTATTTCCACAATCTAGCATTTGTTATCAAATATTATAGTTGTGCACTTTAGTGATCGCGGAACTGAGACGTATAAATGCGAAACTCGACGAGTGAATACGAACGAGACTTCTTCGTTCATTAGTATTTATTTTATTATTCGTTATGGTCATGGTCATTATTGTACATTGGCATTATATACGAACGAGGTACTTGTAATTACTCGATAGTAGTTAATACCCAATACTCACAATGGCACTCTGAATAGATGTACGGTATGTACATGGTTTTGGTTAGCGCAAGAGTCATGTGTACTTACTTACCTAATTGAAATTTGAATGATATTTGTTTTTGCTTGTGCATATAAAATCGCCTCTTTTACTAATAAAACAGCCTTCAGTCTATCGTTTTGTTTTTAAATAATTATTTCAATTGCCTACTGTTAGGAATCGATATAGGCTGGTAGCGGATTGTGAAACCTATCTATTTTACAGAAACAGTTACATTTTAATATACAGACAAACACTCATTCTCGCGATACTCCAAACAAGTCATTTTAAAACGAATTGCATAAGATATACAGTCATTGTAAGTAGTATTTGAAGATATGGTGTGATACCTATTATAGTGTTTTTTAATCCTATGAAGAATTAGCAGTGAAATTAAATCTATTTGAAATTTGAGGTGTGACCAGGAATGGTATATAACTATATAAGTAGTGGCACATCAATGTTGAATTAAGATATTTTTGCGATACAAAGCACAAGTTCAAATCGGTCCAATGTTACGTTCCAATAATTGATGATAAAAGTCGATCGAGGAAATCAACGTTTGAATAAAAATTATTTCGAATTTCGGGATTTTACACTTTACAACAACATTGGGTAGGTAAGACTCGGCTGAAAGGGTAGGTGACACAGGCCCACGCATAGGGTGGCATTTTCAAAGCAAAGATAATATTGTTATTTCAGAAGCGATAAAATTTGATTTTACCCAGTGTACCTACCTACCATCTTCACTTGAGCCTTGGATTGAGTTTGATTGGAAATTGTATTATTAAATCATATGAACCCGATAGGAATAAATTAAGATACAGAAATATTTGTTGATCATTTTGGTAAAAGGTCACTTCTATAATGTATATAGGGAACGGATTTAAATGTCCCAAAAACAAGAAAAAGCTTTTAAAAATACGACTTAATGCATTAATAATATTACATAACTGTAAAAAACGTCCTGATTTTTTGAAACAAAAAATCCATTTGTATACTGTTTTAAATAATTGCGTATCGTAAATAAAACGGTACGTGGAGGAAATTTCCTTTGACAGACCTTTGTACAGCCATCTCCTATTTTGTCTGATACATAGATCGACAACTACTGACAGACAATATCTACATTTGAATATTTTGAAGGTACATAAAAAAGATATTTTTTTTTCTTATATTGAAATAAAAAATAGATTCGGCGAGTGCGAGAAAATCCTTGTTCAGTATTACTATACTGTGTAGAGTACATTCACACAAATTGGGATGGTGGGTGGTGGTGTTGATTCTAACGACTTCTGCCAGAGACCACTTTGATACTAGTCCGTCGCCACTTCCTACTCATCATACCATTATAAATAATAAATATACACGTATGGGTACCTACGTACGACGTAACTAAGTGTATACCTCGAGTGACGGGGCCGCCCGCCGTCGCGTCGCTCCTAAAGTGTAATTATTTGTCAGAGGAGTTTTTTTTTTAAGTGATACCGGTTTTATTATCGTTTTAACACGGTTATAATAATAGTACTCGTCGCGACTCGGCCTTATAATCATAACGCGCTTCTGTATAACCGTATGTATATATATATATATTATTATATTATACAACAGCAGTGGCTTGGACGTATGGCTGGTGGATACACAGATTTAGACAGACAGCTGGTTGTCGAAATTGTTATTGCTGAATGATAATTATTTGTACACTTTAATACCTACGCGCACGTCAAGTACTGTCTCAGGCGGATATCACTACCAAAGCTCTCGGTGAAAATCGACGATTTGGCAAAAGAGCGTCTCGAACGGTGTTAATTTGTAAGCTGCAGTCGTATTAAATGTAAGTTTTGATAGTCCGGAGAAATTTGGACAAAGTGTGGAGGCTAGTCAAAGTTAGTCGCACACTCCCCACCATCCCGGTAAATGTTGATAATAATTGATTCTATGAATCAATGACCTTATAAATCCCAAAAATCAACTTATTGCAATCGCTTATGAATTGATCTCTACAACTCACAATTTTTCTGTTGCAAATTGAACAAACAGGACTAACTTAATTCCACACATACCGTGTACCATCGCATATACAGGTGTAACCCCCTAAAACTGGGATTTAGAATCGGATTTTAGATTTAGTGCTACACATCAAAAGTTGTGTATGTATATTAGAAACCGCGGTTGAATTAAAAACGTATTTTTTATCACATTTTCCAAGTATATATACGTGTAAAATCGTACAAGGACAAAATACACATCTTTCAGAGAACTATAGGTCCCATCATTAGAAGAGTCGGTACTTAATACTTGTTTATTATAAACTGCCATATATGCTGCGATAGACTGCTATACTATATTACATGGAATTAGTTGCGGTCAAATGATCGTTTTGTGGGAGAGGGGGGATATGATTGAGTTTTTAACATGCGCCATTTGATTACTAAAAATATAATTTATAGTCATCGTAGATCTTAAACATCGAAAATAAATCGTGGGGGATCTATCCCCTCTCTTCCCCTCCCGTTCGACCACCACTGTACGGAATAGTTGTAGCTACAAAGCCGCCTGCAATATACCTACAGTTTCGCGACAAAAACCGTAACCACTGTCTCTATAGCCAAAGGTCTGTGTGTAATGCCAAAATCGAGGAGACCTGAGAATGTCATGCGACGGAAATGGATTGTTACAATCCTAAAACCGACCGCGGACGAGGAGGCATCATAGAACACCACGCTGCTTTCGATCGTGTTCTGAAACTAGTGGCGCAGATGTATACATATTTAGGTACGTATACATTGGGGAATCGCGTCCGGCGAAATGTTCCTAACCACGTATACGCCATGGTAACCCGATATTTGTCCTATGTGTAGGTAACCGGTAGCTCTATATATGGTACTACCGCGGGTCGACAGCAGCGTCGCAGAGACGATACGATCATTGGTCGATCGCGATCGACGACCATTGCGGAGTGCCGCGGCGTCGAACGAAACCGAACGAAAAAAAAACAAAACAAAACAAAACGAACAATACACATCCTCCTCCTATAACCAATAATAATAATAATAACGATAAAAAAGAAAAAAAGTAAGCGATTTCCATTTATATAGGTTGGTTACCGCAGTCTCCTTCGGTTATATGTATATATATGGGTACCTCGCGCGCGAATACGATCGGCTTATAATAATAATACAATTGCAGCACACTGCAGGTACCCTCCAAACGATATATATATTTCAGTGCGTGTACACATATATATCATATTATTATCATACCTGCGAACATCCGCCGCCAGTTCAACGATTTCTCCGACAATTTCACCGAGACACAATGCATAATATAATAGGTAATATGAAATATATATTTTTACAGTATAATATACGTCTTGAGCGTAGTGTTGTGTGTGTATGTGTGTGCGTGTGTGTGTGTGCGTAACGAGACGAGTAGACATTTCGTATTCAACAGGTATTACACGAAACTGCAGCGGTGCAACGGTGGCGGTATGCACTCTGCGATTATATTGATATTGTTACATTATATACTTTTTCCACTCGCGTTAGGTAACATTTGAATTCAGACACATCAGCGATGTGGACTTTACCCCTACATCAAAAACGTACACGTTATTCGTTAATAATAATTAATAATTATTATTTATTCATTTTAATTTTGAAATAATGACGGTGGGTTATTGCCCCGCTTTTAAAGTACTTAATAACGAATATTTTTCAATATTAGTAAGAAATAGTTCCATGAATTATGCATAACACTTTACTATTTCCCAATATATATAATAAATAATATTACAATTATTTTTGGTTTAATCAGAAGAAAGATCGAAAGAGACTTATGAGTAAGCTAAAGTCCCCGATTTCCAGCAATGTCACCCATAAAATACACCATTTGGGTACGATTGTAGGAACATTTTTGATATTATGAGTATATGTAAACTATAATATACTGTATTGGTCCGTGGATGTAAAATTAGGCACCTGCGAGGATTTCGATGCGGACACACTATGCAAACACAAGCAGTAAATATATCCTGCGAAACAATTGAGAATATTATAGCATTTTGTGTGATATGCCTACGATAGAGATGAACGATTATTTTATGACAAAAAGCATATTGTGTTCAATAATAATCATATTTTATTTGATACCAAGCTATTAATATCATAAATAATGATTATAGAAGTAATTTTTAATTCTGTATATAGTATATACGCAATAATAACCATTGCTCGAGTCTTAAAAAAAAGTTGGCTGATTAAGTAAAATATGTAATTAATACGTTATTAATTATTTTATTTCGTAGGTTTGGCAACGTTGCACCGTTATTCGAGGACAGTCAGCAGCAATTCATACACACATAAGGTCATCCCTATAATTATTCGTTCTAATGACTCACCAAAAAATATAGAACAATACCGTATTATAACAAGGTGTAGTTGCAAGCAATTATATTGCATTAAAATTGTTCTAAAATCAGAATACTTACTTATACATGTGGATAAAAACACAAAAATTGATATTTTATTTTCTTCGCACAATTAGATTGACAAAAATTGCAGTATTCGTTTTTTGATGGACATATCCGCGAATTAGTGACATATGTCGCCATTATTTGCTTGTCTTACTACAATAGCATCATTTTTCACAGCGATTTTCAAGGATTTTCGTTAAGTAAATGGAGCAAAGATAAACCTTTGAAGAAAAAAAATGTCAAACGCTCATAATTTATCATGTTTCTGTATTTATGTTTAATTATACTTTATCTTTTTACACAAGAAAAATATTAAGTAGCACACAACAAATATAATTATATTACATTTAAAAAAAAAAAACATCGGTTGTAACCGACTTCGCCAATTTTACGGTTCAAAAATTTACAATAAGAAGTCGGTAATAATAATAGTCACTAACAAAAAGGATATGTACATGTCATGTAAATTTTTTCAAAATTTTTTTTCCAAAACGTGAGCAGATTTTTTTTCTCATAAAAAGTCCGTTATTAGCACCAGTTTTGAAAAAAGAAACCGCATAGGAACAGTTTTGCATTAAAACACGTTTTGTTTTTGGCGAAATATTTCACTTTTAGACGATACAATTAATATATTTTCTTTTCAAATATTTTACTTTTAGGAACATATTTTTTCGTCTTGAATGCCAGGGTAGGGTACAATATATAATTTATAATAATATGTATTTATATAATATAATAATAGATGGATATTCTTATCTATTACTATTTGGGAAAACCAATACAATCTAAAATTTCTCCGCTATAACTAATGAAAAAAAAAAACACTATTTACTTGTTTAAATAATTAAATATTTATAAGTTAAATAATATTATTATACTATTGCACGTTTTCGTATTATAGTTTCTCTATAATATATTATATTATTATTTTATACATTCCCTAATCAATAAATATATTATGTATATAATTATTATCTATTTATAATTTAATATACTAAAAATGCCTTATTTATGTATAATGTATAAATGTAAATAATTTTCTACAATAACGAAGTCAAATATATAAATATTATATATAGGTTTATATATATATATATATTAAAATATATACAACATAATAGAAACGCGTGTTTGTGAGTGTAATACGTATGTGTGATGAGTGTGTGTGTAGGGTNTGGGTGGGTGGGTGGGTGGGTGGGCAGGCGGGAAGGGTTATGCGTGGTTTACTTGACTATCGCCACTGCTTGCTGTTCGTCGGCGGCCGACGCAGCTGCTGACGCAGAGTCCAGTCCGTTGACCATTTTCTCGATGGACTTCAGCTCGCTACTGGTCGGCGACGGCTGATTGGCGGCCGTCCGGTGATGGTGGTGTTGGTGATGTTGGTGTGGCCGTTGCGACGGTGACACGGACGACTGTCGCGGCGGCGGTTGTAGCTGTGCCGATATCGGCGACGGCTGTGGCTGCGACGAATGTGGTGGTGGTGGTGGCAGCGGCGGCTGCGGAGGAGACGTTTGCCGACCGCCGCCGTTGGTTGGCGACTGCAGGTCGAGAGGCGCGGGCGGCGGCGTACTGCCTGCCGACGAGCACCGGCCCGGCGTCACCGTTTCGAAGGCCGAGCCGACGGACGACGGGTGGAGCGGATGGTGAAGGCCAAGGTGGTACGGGTGAAACCGGCCCAGGCCAGCGGCCGCGGCCAGTCCACTGGTGGTCATCTTGAAGGGGTGGCCGCCGCCGCCGCCACCGCCGGCCGCGGCGCCCTGTAGGTAAGCCTGAGTGAACAGCGAGCCCGGGTGGTGAGCGGCCAGCGCAAGCTGAGCATTGAACAGCAGGTTGGTGGTGGGGCTGAGCGCGGACGGGCAAAGCGGACCGCCCAGGCCAGGGCCACCGGGGTACATGCCGGGATACAGGTACGGCAATAGGTGCGGCGACGGTGGGATCGGTGGTCCGAAAGACACGTTCGGTGACGGGTAGTCGCTAGGGCTGTGTCCTGGTCCTGCGGGAACACAAAACGCATAACATGAATATTGTGGGCTATTGTATAATATTATGTGAAGCGTTGCCACTGTTCTCAAATAATGGCTGCTAACACGATCGATCTGTGGGTTTTATCCGACCATCAATGCAGATTTCAGGGGTTGTCCATGAAATATTTTTTTTATTATATTTAGGTTGGTTACATTTATTGGAGAACATTGATTGATCATCGTTTCCCAAAAATCTCAAGGATATGTCATTTCCCACGTCGTTTTAAAGATTTAAAAGCTTACACTAATAGTCAGTTCGTGTTTACTTAAAATATAAGATTTATAAAAATGTTACTCGTGGACCAGGGTTGGCAAAAAAAATATTTTTAATCTAACAAGAACTAGCCTAGCACAATAATTTCGTTTATAACGTTATTGCGTACCCTGCAAAAAAGTATTTTTATACAATACTTAGATGTTTTAGATAAATATTTATCTTAGTCGTGTTTTATTTCTATTAAACTCTTTATTTCCAAAACTTATTTGATATAAGGACTTTGCGAGAACACGGATAAAGAGGGTTAAGCTAAAATCGTGCACTGGACCGATCTCATACGGGCACCCTCTTAAATATTTTATGCTGTATACGTTTTGGAAAACAGTAGAATGTTATTATTCTCGTGAAATCGTTTGTTTACGGTTGAAGTTCTCTAATAATTCTAATCCATCTTTACTGGGCATATTGTAAGCACGTCATGCATATTTGATATACTTAATATATCATACATAAGGGTATAACTATTATACTTATCACTTATATGTACACCTAGCATATAAAGCATTGAATCCAAAAAACGCACTTTTTAAATAAAACACAGGTCAAAACCACATCATTTTTTTAAGGTCGTTGAATTCAAAAACTACACACTTTATAATTAATGATACACTTTCTTAAGAACGAAAGTATATAAAATAATGTATTTAGTATTATAAATAAAAATATTAAATGAAATTATCAGCTTAAATATATACTCATTAGTCATTAGTCATTACATACGAGTTAAATATTTTTTTTTTACAAGCTACTCAATATTAATTTTATATTTTTGTATAGACTTAAGTCATTTCGAGTGTTAATAATATCATAATTTAAAACTACTATTTTGGTAATCTTGGTAAAAATGTTTGACGTTCATATAATAATACGTAGATTTAAAAATAGTATGCGATATTTAAGATGTACAATGAGCGATAAATTGTGTGATTTTAGTCCATCAACCTTTCTGGAGTCAAAATTATAAGTGTACGCTTTTTGGATGCAACGGAATAGTCAAGTAAAATAGTTTAATGAAATTGTTTCTTACCAGAAGGACCAGCTGACTCTTTGTCGGACGGCGAGTTCATTCTGTCTCGGCCTGATTCAGAACAACTGCTTTCTTGTTCGCTGTCAATTTCCTGCTGGTGAGCTTGTTGGTGGTGATGGTGTTGCAGGAAAGCTGCGTGGTGAAGTGCCGGGTGACCGGCCAGGCGCCTCCTCATGGCATCCTCCAGGAGCAAACTACCATCAGCCAATCCCGAGAACCACGAACCTATTGATTAAAAAAAACCCACTCATTTTAGTAAAACCAAAATCAAAATCATCAAATTGTGAGATGTATGTGGTGAACTGGACTTACCGGGTTGGTGAGGTTGGTGGTGATGGTGGTGGTGGTGGGCAGAAATCGGGGAGTCAGGGTCTCCTCCACCGACCACGTCCAGTGGTTTGTCGTCCTCGTGATCTGAACCTGAGGGCTTTTCGTCCTGGCTTTGGACCGTTTGGCTGCCGTGTCGTTGCGCCGTTAACATTGCTTGCCTGAAAACACCATTACGTTGTACACATCTGCAGATTGACAGAAAAACAAAAATAAGCTTGAAACGATCTCTACGAAACGACTGTTAAGCTTTATAGTGTCTACTCGTATATATAATAATATACGATCAAAGAATCACGTGGTTAAAAAGTTTTTTCTCTCATTTCACGCGAATGATCTTGGATAATCGACATTTTTATTTTCTTTGAACGGAGTTATGTATTTTTTTTATCAGTGGTTGGATGTAGCGTAATACTAGTAGTAGTTGTTTTCAGCAGTAGTGCTATTCGCGATGGAATTAAGGCATTTATCTGTCCCATAATAATATAGGTGTACACCATAAGCCTTCTAAAACACGACCGACGCTCATTATATACACTGAAGAGCAACGTACCTTCTTTAACTGTCGAACGTCACCCGCTCCCTCCTGCTGCAGGAGGTCTGTCACGTTAAGCCCAAAACGAGTAACGACAAATTGCATTATCTCGTTTACCGAATTCCCGTGTATCTAACCATATAACGTATAATTATTTAATTTTTTTTTCACAGTAATAAGGAAACGCGCGAAAAGGAAATCAAAAAAACGAATCCAGCCAGTCTCGACGATAATTTCTTTACCATTTTCGGCCGGAGATATAAAGCAGTACTATGTAGCTGTTCGCTAATGGATTCAGATTGACATTTGATTACGGTCGGGCGCTACAAAAATAATAATCGTTCTACGGATCCGTATATGGCACTCCGCCGCCTAACCAGGCGCCATATACACAATGATATTATTAGTATATTACGGACAATTACAATTATTATTTGTTAAGTCGTCAGTGTAATAAAAACGACCCGAATTTGGAATGGAAAAAAATAACTTGAATTATTGAAACCATGTTACATAGGTATACCTAACATAATATTATGTTAGAGAAGGGATACAAAAAAAGTTGATCGGTTTAACTATACTTATTAGTTATTATAGTAATTAATGTTGTTCTTACAACATTGCAAACCCGGTGTACATGTGTACCCCCGCCCCACGAGGATGATGATATTACGATGACAAAAGTCGTGGACCTCGACCATTATGATATTTTCTGATTTATCGGTTCGTGTGGGCCAACTTCAGTGAGCGCTGGACCTACAGTGTCACTGACGAAGAATCTATGTGCAAGTGTGCGTATAGGTTTTATGTAATTACTTTGTTCCTTTAAACTAGCTCTTGGTCGTACTTTTAAACAAATACAATATATTTTCCAAGTCCGGCCGTTACGTTTCAATATATTTTATCATTATTATAATTTTCAACGGGCTTGAAAATAAATACACCGTGAACACAAGGTCGTGTCGATTATTTTAGGTGTCTGCGCAGAAAAATAATAACACTCATATTGTAGGTTCCGACGAGTGTGAACAATATTATATTATTATACACCACAACAAAGCCCATTGCACACCAAATCATAATAATTATTAATATTGTGTTTTGATGGAATTCGGGACACGGAAGTACATAACGATGACGAATAGCGATACATATTTTGATATAGAACATTGTTAGTCGGTTCGACCAAAAACCTCTGTATAATATGAGCATAATACAAACGATTTAAGAAACGCAAAAACGATTGCCTACTTAAACTTGTCTTGGAGAAAATCAATACGGTACACATGTGTATATTAATAATAATAATAATACCAATGGTAATATTATTCTACTAATCGAGCGTGAAGCGTTTAACGGATGCGGATAAAACGACGAAAATTAAGGTAAAAAACGAAAAGATTAATTTTTTTTTTTATCAATGGAAATCGCAGCAACGGCAACAGCAGCCGCCCGGACAAAAAACAAACAAACCGAGTGGCTCTGCCGGAGGCGGCGGAGGTAATTTATTATTACAATATTTCTGTCGGCCGCCTCCTCGGCACCTAACCTATTACTACTACTACTACCTGCTACGTACATGTAACATGTATTATTATTATTATTATTATTATTATAAACGTACACACACTCGCACATTCTCTGCCGTACATTATTGAAGACCTAGTCGTTGTTGCTATGCTCCGTTTATACCCACATTATACACACACGCGCTTCTTTTAATAACAATATTATAATATGTACCCGTCGAGGTGTGTGACGACAACGACACGATAATATTATTATATAGTTACCAAGGAGTCAGGTGCGAGTGCACGCCATCAAGTCCCGGGCGTCGAACGAATTAGACGAGGCGGTATACCGAGGTAATACGTGACCAAGTATAGGTGCCAGGGGGGTACCGCACGCGAAACCGGACGACTTGACCCGACCCAGAAAGCCTCCCAACCTGGGTGGGGGTGATGTGCTCGCGTATTATTATATTATATTGTTGTTCTTGTTCAACGATTATATCGTCTACGATCAGGGCTAACTGACGTCGTCGGGAGGTGAAGCCATTTGCGCCAGGAAAATGTGTTCAGGGGAGGTGGGGTAAATATTAGGACTAGGCCGCAGACTAATATGCTAGCCTGACTTATATACGCCGACCTTTAGCTGGTGTTCTTTCAGTACGCTATTCTGAAATGTTTGTGAAAATGTTTTTGGCCTTTTTTCGCGTTACGGTATGCCTGTACGCGAAATAAATAAATAAACTGTCAAACGTATTGAAATTTTAGCATAAGCGTTTTATCGACATTATTCGAAAAGCGTAATTAAAAACTTACGAAAAATGAACGTTTGCGGTGAAAAGTTCACAAAATGTTATTTACATTTTTTACGTAGTCGTTTATATACGGTCTTTGGTGTAAACGATAGAACTCGTGTGCGGGTCACGGCACGGCGGCCGAGTATACAATTAAAATGCTCACGGAGGGTCACGGCGAAATTATACGCGGGCCACTGCAGTAATATCCCCGGGGAACGTTTAAAATGTTTCGAGTTATGCGGTTATATTTTTTTTACCAAAGCCCATCCCACCCATCACCCACACCGTTCACCTATCTTACCAACCGGGGGGTTTTCAAACGCGCGGCGGCAGTATTCGTATATAGCCTTTTGCATACGGAATTAAATGGGCCGCGAACGGCACCCCCTCACCCACCTCCCAACCGACGATAATATCCGTCGCATTATTATTAGATATATCTGGTGGGCGTCGACTTTTTAAATTAAAAGGCATTTCGCGACGACTCTATAATATACACTTGCGACCTTTGCGGTGTCATTAGTGGGATCTCCTCTCTTTTTTTAGTGAACAGGCGCGCGTGTGAGTGTATATATATACGTTTCTTTTCGTCCTTTCCTTTCAACCCTCCCCCTCGTCGCTCCGAACTATCCGTTTGCCCTCTCGCCTCTCTATATACCTAACTAACATAAAGGCTAAACTATACATAGTAATAATAATAATAATAAAAAAAAATACAAACGCACCGTCCGTGTAGTAATTCGTGCGGCTCACCCGAAACCGTCTCACTCACTTTGACCTTTATCCCGTGACGACGACGCCTCGCATATCATTAAGTTGTATTGTACACACACATATATATATAAATGAAAAAAAGGCAAACCGAGCCGACCGACTAATACTAAACTAACTACTGAATAAAAGGGTGGACAATTGTCGGCGAAAAATCGATAAACGACTAATATACGGCGGCGGCGATAATAATATAATAATATCGCTTTTGCAGCCTTCGCTCAGTATCGTAACATTATTATGATTGTTATGTTTTAGATTGTGTGTGTGTTTGTAACCTTTTGTTGTTTTAGTTTTTTTTTTTTTCATTACGTTTTTTGGATTTTTTATACGTGCGTAGAATCGATTACTTTATAATATTATTATACATAGTGTAACATAATATTTTAATAAGCGATGCGTTGTGTTACACGCGGACGAGCGGCAATAATCACGCGACAGTGACCGCATTGAAATCAACTGATAATAATATAATAATAATATATTGTGTTCACATAAAATTATTATAGTAGTATTAGTACCTATACAGATAAGTCATCTGGATCGCGCGCGTCACACTTTGAAAAAGCTATTACACGGCGGGTTCGTTATAGCACACACGCGACGTGACAGGACGAAATCGTATCGCGTAAAATATGGATGTGTGTGTGTGTGTTAGGTATTATAAAAATAATCGTACTTCCGACCGGTAAAAAAAATAATAGTAATAATAATAACAACAACGATGGAAAAAAATAAAAATGTAAATCGTATATCGTTCTGTACACGTAGTTTTTTGTGTTTTTATCGGACGATCGTTTTCACGATTTGTGTATGTATGTGCATAATAATATCACAGTGAACGTGTGCGCTCGTCATATTATAATATCAATTGAAGGTAATTTCGACGGCAAACAAAGGGGAAACGGTTTTGGTTTTCAAACCACTAATGATGATAAAAATACGCATAGTATTGTCGTCTACGACGGTTTTTATAATATGGAATATGTTATATAATATTCGTTATTATGATATCCGTAATATTATTATATATGTACATCGAGACATGAATTAGACCGTTTGCATATAGAGTGCCACAATAATGCTTAAATGTGCGAATAATAAACAACAATGCTTGCGGTACTCACTTTTTTTCTCGTTTACCGGCACCGGTGTCTCGGAACCCTTTGGCGAACGGATTGTTGTCGATTTTTAACTGAGTTATCTATAATTAGAAAATATACGTGTGAATATAGGTACTTCATAACAGTTAATGACTTACATCATCTTTTTACGACAATTCAAATGATTAAACGCAAATTATTAATCCTTCGCATGCCGAGATTAATAAAATGCTACGAGAGATAAACAGCATAATATTTTAATTACCTTTTCGTTTTGATATGCCGTAACGGCGATGAACTCGGTTTCCTTGAACACGTACGTACGGAAAGTTGAGTAGGGCAACTTGATGATGTCGTTGGCTCTGACTAGATGGAAACGGGGCTGGTATTTGTGCATCGAGTTCAATATGGTCTAGAGAGAGACAGAAAGAAAAGATACGATGTAGATAATTTATTACACTTGAAACGCGCGACACGAGGTGGACGCGAAAGGGGCCGTTTGATATATACGCGCGAGGCACCTGATGTGTCGGGACACAGGTGCCGATTGGCCGGCGATAAAAGGCTGTTTGAATTATTAAAAACCCTCGTATAATATACGAACACGACACATTAACAAAATGTGGAGCGACACATCCGGCGAATTTTTTTTCACCCCGAAAAATGGCTGTTACGACAATACGCACAATGCACAATATATATAGGTCACTATATACAGTTTGGAATCACCAAAGTATATACATATTATACACAGTTGCCCCGAAACGGCACGATTCGGTTGTATTTGTGGCTGTGTAACTAACAAGCACTAATTAAATAGGTAACGAAAAAAAAAACATGAAAACTTCCCCCGCGCACAGTACAAATTATTTTTGTTACTATCAATGTATAATTAATTTTCGAAATACGATTTTTGAATAATTAATAACCGTCGGGGTATTTTTGTTTTTAACATTTATTCAAATAGTGCCATATAGTAATATATATTATATTGTACGATATTCGTGACAACTAAATACAACGATTAAATACAACCGAAAACGGATTAATAACAGGGTATTTAAAAACACCCGTTTACGTATTTTAAAAGTTTAACGAGTAAAAAATAATTAACCGTTCGTATCATATTATTTGATAAACCTAATTGCAGGTTTCCAGTGTATACGAATTAGTTTTGTCGACCGGCCGACGATCGCAATACAATATATAAATATATTATAATATACGACACAAGCGCATAATACACCCGCGCAGCAGCACATAACAATGTTATATCATACGAAAGCCTACAAGCACGGATGCAATGCTAATAATAACATGATGTATAATGTATTTGTACGAGTAAAAGGACTGTATATGATATAATAAGAACAGCGGTCGGAAATCGATAATCGATAATATTCCGATTGCGATCGATCGCATGAGTAATCTCCAACGCCGAATAAAAATATAACGTATAATATGATAAACGTGCAGCCACAGTACCACCTTCGTGTATACATGATATAACCTCCGAATACAACTGGGTACGGCCGTAGAATCGAAAAAGACAATTTTTTTTCCTCTTTAATTCAGGGTCACACGTGTGTCGTTTTTCGCGCCATTCCGCTTTTATTTACAATATAAAACATACGATCGTGTATTAATATTGTATACGAACTACGAACACACCACCACCACCACCGCCACCACCATCGGACGTTGGTGGCGACGGCGGCGCCACAAAAGACGCCGGCTCCGACGATGTGTGTGTGCGCGCATACATACGGGTCGTGCTGGCGGTCGCCGGACCGGAGAAGAGAGGAGATCTAACGATACAAGATATACGTGTAAACACGAGCGACGTGTGTGTATATGTGCGATGATAGACGGGGAGGACAAGTCTCGGGACTATATACTGTGGAATTGAACAAATCGAACGACATACGCGCCGGCTCGTGGAAGAAGGAAGGGAACTGGTCGTGACGGTCCACTCGCTCGCTCACTCCTTCCTCCCCGCGTCTCACTGCCTGACCACAGTACGTATGTACATGTGTGTGTGTGTGTGTGTGTGTGTGTGTGTGTGTATAAAAGGACTAGACGCCGGTCGTGTCCAATTATCCTTGTATGTGCGTTCCGTTTGACCGGAGACACATGATATCCGTTAACTCCGCTCCCTCCACCCCTGCCACGCAGTGTTCCTAAACCGGGACAGCGAGAGCTTTCGCGCGGGTCCGAGCAAATAGATATTTATACATATAATATATATATATACACACGCGATTTAAAAGTTTCTCTCGTTTCCATCAGGGCGTCCTCATAGCCCGTCCTTACGGTGTAAGAAACGCAAGATTCGCGAAATAAAATCGGACCCCTTAACACGCACACACACGCCGCCGAAACGTATAAGACAGTAGAAATGGGACGACGACGAATGCGACGAAGTACGGAAGTCGCGAGAGTATAACATTATATTATATTGTATTAAATATAATATATTATTTAGGTACCTATAAACAGGGAAAGAGACCCGAACAAAAGAAAACCCCTCTTGTCTCATTGTTTCGACGAGATAATATTATTCCGTATAGACAGTCGTGCGAAACCCAACCCGTATAATATACGAACGACGACGATGTACGCCATCATGTTACGGCTCGTATAAGTTGGTACGGAGGATGAAGCGAAAAAAAAACCTGTGACCGTGTGTATATAATAATAATATAATATAATACAAACGGCAAAACGCACACGGGTCGCCACAATCAAGTAGGTATGGGTGGGTAGGCATTATATCGTATAATATATTATATCAACGGATGAGCGGGACACGGACGATAGCAGTATAATAATACAATATTATAATATATACAATATATGTTTATAATATACCTATTTAATATAAAATAATTGATATGGCCGACGACAATCGTCTCGGCCGTCGTCGCGTTTATTATATTCAAATCGGACGCACGCGGACAGACATCATTTGGCGCCACCGCCGCCGCCGCATCGTGTTTTTCATTCAACAAGACCTCCGCCGCGTCCGGCACGTTCTCACGAATCTCTCACGGCTGCAGCGGCGGCGCTGGCCTAATCACTCGGGGTCCACCACCCACCTCCCCGCCGTAGCCCCGCAGTGGGCCCCCCGAGGCATTTATCTCGTTAAAACAAAAAGATAATAATATCGTGTGTATACCACCTATACGTGTGTGTGCGCTAACTGCTGTATTTTAACCGCGCGAGATCGGAGAGAGAGATGTATAGTTTTAGAGCGATAGAAAGAGACGGTAACAGATAGATAGATAGAGAAAGAGTGACGGAAAGAGACGACGATAAACTCGTTCCGCGTTTTATGCCTGTTTTATACTGCACTATATGATATTATATACTCGAGAGAAATATTATATTATATTATTATTACTATATTGGTAGTGTAATATTTTACGTACCTCTGGAAATCTGTGGAAACGGTTGATAGGTCTGTTTATGGTCTGTAGCGAAAACTGATTTAAACCCTAATAAACAATAACGGATTCAAGCAATATAATCATTTTGGTATTAATTATTGGATTGTTTTGTGTGTGTGTGTGTGTGTGTGTGTGTGTGTGTGTGTGTGTGTGTGTGTAGTATGTGTGTGATGGCTGTTATAATAATAATAATTGTGACAGGGGTAGGTAACATCGGTCAATATGGATAAATATTATTCGTATCAAAATCGAGTCGATAAATGGCACGAAACGCGATAATTCAATTGCACGACGGGCCATTTTCGGTTTACGTGGTTTTAATTTTTCCAATTTCCAGTTACCACGTTGGTACTAATCCCAATGCAGTCACGTATAGATTATTTAACAGAATATTGTTCAGGTTTCAACCGCATTATTTATAAACTATATGAACTTTTCGTTTCCGATCCCACCGGAGTCGGTCTCTCGAGAAATCGTCCTGTGTACGTGTTATGATGAATTCTAATTATTATTCCACGGCTTATAATAAAAAAACAAAAAATATCTCAGCTCAAATCAAACAGCTATACACAGTGCTATATCACTATAAAAATAACTATAATAAATACCTACTACACGTCAATGCGCAATTCCCAGTCGATAAAAATCTGCACACGAGTCCGAGTTGTACGTGGTGATGTTTGGTGAAGGGGGGGGGGGCGAAAACGAACGGACGTCATTATGCCGCCACGATTGACGTACCCAAATAATAAATCGCATATTATTCGAAAACAGTTTGACGGTTTGGTTTTTTTTATTTTCATTCCGTCTCTGGCCGGTTGACGCTCGCGTCGGGGCCGTGTATGGGGGGGTATTACGGTTGGCGTACTTTCACACCCAACGCACGTAATCCACCGGTACCGCCGCCGCCGTCGGTTTCTCATCGTTTTGTCTCTGCGTTTGACCGTTGCCCGTCGTCATAGTGTAACGCGCAATAATATATTATAAATATATATATATATATATTACACGCACCGGTGGCGGCGGCAGACGTCGTCTGATTAGTGTGCTGTCGTCGTCGTCGTCGTCACCGTAGTATTATACCTCCATACCGCTGCTATACATATATATATATATATATAACAATAATATACACAGCCGAGTGTGTGTGTGTCTCTTCGCATTCGTTTTCGGCCCCGACGCGACACGACTCGAGTGTCCGTTCTCCCCCCACCCCCCCGCCTCCGGGGTATATGTTCCGACGACATATCACGTACCCACGATGTGCAATATTATTACGGCGAAACATAATATTATATAATACGCGTATATAGGTACACGGATATAATAATGATATTGTACGCCCATATTATGCATTATACGCGATTCGAGTATTATATTATATTATATGCGTTATATATACGTAAACGCCGACGGAATGCGAAACGAACAGAATGGATTTGGCGGCGGCGACGAGACGGTGGCGGAATAGATATCGTTGTATTATTATTGTTATATGACGAGTTCTTTATTTTATAGGGCCCGAAGAGGAAGGGAGATGGACGTTACACGTGCAGGTTTTTCGAGAAAGAGAGAAACACACACACACACACACACGGGCGGTGCGGCACAAAAAACAAAAGGACCGATCCCAATTATAAAAACTAAATAAAATAACGTGTATATACGAAAAGAAAACGACCGAGACGACGACGACGACGACGACGACCGGGTAAATATATGCGTGTGAACATTAAGGGGCCGCACCTCGGACGAAAGAACAACAACGACTGCCGCCGCCGCCCGGTTGTTATCACACGACTAATGACACCTACTGCTGAGGTAGCCGGGCTGCGACGCTCACACACACACACACACACACAAATATTATATATGTACACGAGAGAGTACTAAAAAACAATAAGAGGGTCCCGTGTCCATTAACACTGGCGTTATTTATTGGCCGCATAAATATCGTTCGGGTGGCCTTTATCTCTGTCGTGCGCGTGTGTTGGCGTGCACACGAGGCCTCGTTTCGTTTTATTGTTATTAACGCGCAAGCGGGTCCGGTTCGGGACGAAGCACGAAGACGACGGGACGTCGTGCCCCGCCGCTCTTCCCCCCGGTCGGTCGTTTCCCCAAAAAACAGTAATAATAATAATAATAATAATAATACACTATTATACCTATGTACGGCCGTATACGCAATAAAATAATACAAGACTCGTGGGGAAACACGGGCGACAAGTCGTCGGAACCAGAGACGGTGCGCGTGTGTGAGAGAGACCGAGGCGGACGGACATCGAGAGAGAGACCGAGACAGACGGAGATCGAGAGAGATAAACGACACGTATAATCGGCTGACGACATCGCGCGACGACCGGGTGCAGCGCCAGTAGCCGCGCCAGTGTGTGTACCGACGAGTATAACACGTGTACACGTTTCGGTCGTTATACCGATTTGAATAATATTCCGGTAACACGGAAAACGTTTTCCGCCGGTAAAACGACGAGTCCTCCATCCAAATATCAATATTATCCTCCGTACAATATACGACATAAGTTGTACCCGTTTAATAGTGTGATTTTTCGACATCGCCGCACAATAGCTTCCGTCCACCGCCGTCCTCGTCGTCGTAATGATGTGGAGGAGATTCCGAGACGTCGTTCGCATATCGATGTCATCGAGGCGAGTCGTCGAAAACGGTGAAATATTGTGTTGTTGTACGGTGAACGCGTACCGACGCGATTTGTACGCAACAAAAAAATATATTTCATCAACGCTGTTTATGCGTTCGTTTTCGTATCATTATTATTGGGTCGTCCGTGAGAAACAAGTCTCTCGCGGTCCGTTTTCGGCGCTCGTTATAATATGTTGCGTTATACTATTAAAGGCACAACAGAATATAATATTATTATACATTCGTATGTCGTCGTGCAAGCCGCGCATAATTGGCGGCGGTGTCGTAAAACGACGGTATAATATACGACGACGGCGACCGCGGTATATGCGCTGCAATAGGTGTAGGTACCTAAATACTAAACATGTTGCATACATGGTGTGTACCGCGGCGTTTGGACCTGGCGGACGTGATACACCTCTTCTACATATTATCATCATCATCATCATCATCATTATCATGGTCATCATCGCGCCATGATCGCCATCCGGGCGCGCGTCGAGGCGCCAAAAGAATTAACGACGCACGTACGTGTAATAATAATTGGACGTGTAGTATATCGGCCCGCAGTCGTTTCGCCGTGCACCATTCAATTAGTGCGCGCTTGTGTGTGCAACCGCTGCTGCACCAACCGACGAAAACAACGCCGAGGAGAGGAGTCAGCCGACTCGGTCCGGTTCATGCAAGATTTATTTATTGTATTTTTTAACCCCTTCCCGCCCCGCTTCCTCCTAACCACCGCCGCCGCCGACGGTTCGCCAGTCGCGCCGCCGTCCCGTCACCGGGCGCCACGATGTTTTCTCCGTCTCCGCCGTCTGCAAGTACACGACGACGCGTTTGTTATAATATCACATTATGCGTGGCGTACAGGTCTACCGGCGGCCAGCGAGTATAATATGTGGTGGATGGGTTGACGTGCGGGTTTTTCGAATTTTTTTTTTTTCTACATTTCGTTCTTGGGCTGCAGTATACCCACACCAATAATATATACGTTCGTCGTTTCGTTACGCCGAGGGGAAAAAATCAATTTTATTCCGTTAAAACGCGACCGGCGAGGTCTTCATTTAAATACAATGGGGTTAAAAACAGATCTCGTTCTGCGAGACGGACAGACGATTTATTTTTATTATCCGTTTATTTTAATTTCAGCGCGCATTAACATTTTTACCCGCACACACACACACCCGCTAGCACACGCGGATAGATGTCTATCTCCGGCGAGCGGCTCTGATGGCTGCTGCTGCTGCTGCTGCACATTATTCTGGAGCCAGCGGCACCGACGACAATATTTTTTATCCGACGCAAAAAAACATCATTCGGTGTGAATGAGAGTCCTCCGCTCTTTCGCCTATATGGCAAAGCAACAGAAACGGCGATATTCCGGTTTTTCCTGGTTATTATTATTATTTTTTTTTTTTAATTAACCAGAATACGCTTCGTGTGTTTTTATTATATTATATTATATTATTATGGTAGCCGTGTGGACAATTAACCTGAAATTCTTTATTGTTGGCCCCCACATGTGTATATATATATATATATATATGTATGTGTGTGTGTGTTTGTGATGGTTTTACGACCGTTTCTAGCCGTTGTTTTATTTTCCGGCGAGTTCGTGTCGTCGTCTGTGTGTATGTTGTTTTTTTTTATTTTTTTATATATATTTTGGAAATAAACGTACACATTCTTCATTTTTGCCCGCATCAACGTTTTTTACAGGTTGGCTTCATTTCTTCTCTTACGTATAGCGTTGCATTATTGTGCACACTACGTCAATATGACCCGGAAATATTTTTAGTAACGAATTTTCGACTGACGTGGAGCAGTGGTGCAGCAAAGGACGCCGACAAAGGACGACGACTCTGAGTTATCTACCGCTGCCATCGAATACCACGCGCACCCGGTTCTTCGCCGTCAAACGCCGTGTAAACGCCGTGTATACGCCGTGCGCCAAACAACAAGGCTGCACAGTGACGCCGAAACGGTAATAATAATATATTGCGATAGCTGCAGTTGTGCGTGTGTTGTGCGATCTATAAGAGTGTAGGTACTGATACCAGTAGATATCGCGTAGTTTGTGTCCATCGAATAGACAGGACTTATATAGGTGGAAGCCAAACCTATTTTCCTAGTGTTATACGGAAAACGGTAAATGATCGCTACCAAAAACCACCTCACATTCGCTTCCGTCAATATTACGATATTGGCATACACGCCCAGAAGTGACAACTGAGTCAGAGTTCTGTGATCCTGGTGCTTTTGTCACACGTGTAAAAAAAAAGAACGTTTATTGCATAATATTATAGAACTAAAAATATATAGGTACGCGCCGAGTGCTCATTTTATTTTTTTAACCTCGGGGAGGGCATATTGCACGAACCCTAGCTGC